ATTACCGCCTCCGAATAGTTGATCCCACGGTCCGCTTATCAGTGACACGAACATCTGTTTCAATAGTATACATCATATGATTTCAGTTAGTATTATTAGTTCTAATGCACATTTATATTTTATGACATTTGTGCTACTGTTTCATTACAATATATCGACTCAAGATCATGCTATGAAAAATGAATATCGAATCAACATATATTTGTACTAAAGACTTTTATAACAATTTTGGTATATTTAACAAGTTTATTGAAATGAATTGAATGGAGTATTGGAGTGTATAATATAATATGCTTGTATAATTGTAATATGTGCGACCACAAATCAATGTACCTGAGGTATGACAATTGCCAAGTTCAATACTCCAAGTGAAAGCCCTAGAAAGATATATAGATTCTTGTTATAAATATACGTAATCCAAGATATCAATATAAGGAAAATAAGCAAAAGTTGTAAAATAAATTATAGTGATAATTTTGCTGAGGAAACTCACCATGGCCGGATCCGGAATCAGAGGAAAACATTGATGCTAGAGCAAATGGAATGCTGAAGGTAATCTGTGTCGAAAATGGTCCAAATGTTACTTTTTGTTTATTAAGTACTATACATAGTATACTATATAAATGATTTAAAAAAAAAGTAACACGTACCGCTTGTGGGATGCCCATGGCAGCAAAAAGAGTCAAAGTAAAGGCTAAGACACCACGGGGTGGTGGGGTCCCTGGTGGGGACGACCTCCTCGCGTGTTGAGCCATCTTTGTGGCAGCGGCAGTCAACGCTAAAGCCACTGCCAAGACAAAGTTGACCACCCCCCAAAGCCTCCTAGCACCACCAAGCACTTTTGACAAAGGATCAATAGTCAATGACATAAGGCCCAAAGTAACCGCAGTCAACATTAGACCCAATGATCCAATCCTAACACCGTCATCATAAGCATGTTTTTGTGGATCAGGCCCAGTAGGATTACCCCCATAAATCTCCTTACCAACCCAATCAGTATTAAATAACAAGTATGGGAACCAAGCAATCCAATTTATGGCTGTGACTAAGAAAAGCATCAACATGGGCCGGCCCAAATTGCGAATTGTTGAGTTGACTTGAACAAAAAACGGGTCCTCGTGTTCGGATCTTTTTTCAAACTCGGGTTCTCGGACCATGAAGAGGGCTAAACTGACTAGGATGAGTAGGAAGATGACATCAATGAAGAAGCATGTTTTAAGATTGGCACAATATATTTTACATTCATTGTTAAGGGTAAAGGGGAGAAACTTGTAGAGGCGACTAAAAGATCCAGCAGCATAGCCTAAAACGTTGCTTATAGCCATGAAGAATGAGAAGAATGCATTGGCTTTTCTCATTTGCCTGTGGTCGTGTCTTGAAAGATCCGCCAAGAATGCTCTTGCAGGATCCTACAACACAATAACATAACGATCATGTTAAAACATAAAGGAGTACAAGTATCATGTTAAAACATAAATGAGTACAACTATCTTGTTAAAACATAAACAAGACATCAAAGAATTTTTTTTTACCAATTCAATTTCTACCACGAAAATTATAATTTGACCTCCATATATATATTATAATTACTTTACTACACCATGTCACTTCAATCATGTTATAATAATGTCAAAACCTTCAATTTCATAAATTCTACCTAACATGTAGGCAAAAATCAGCATCATAATAATTATTTCTACGATGTATTGTATGTAGTCCCTAAAATGTTATTAATGGACATATATTCTCTTCCTTTTTGGTCATATTCAATATTCATACCAAGTACATGTTAGCTGGAAACATCTATATCACATATTTACCCACTAATTTTAAGGACCACCCACATTTATGTGAACAATTCACATGATTTAGTTGAATGACAATATCATCTCATCACTTCTAGATCAACTGAACTATGCTTTGCACCAGTCATATTTCATATCAGCTAAGAACATATGCAAAGCTAAACACTTTTTTCTTTTTTTTTTTTCTCTCGTGGTCCTTTAACCTAACCCCCAAGTAAAGCAATAGACATTCTCTACACATCTTACGTTTGCACTACGTCAAACGTTAGTAATAGTGCAATATAATCGTCTCATGAGTACTCTTCTAAATCGAAAATTTGGGATGTTTTAGGTAAAAACTAGAGCAAAAGTTATATACAACTTACGAGTTACAACAACTAATCAAATTTTACACGTAATACTTTTAGAAAAAACAATAGAAGTCGAGATGTTGGATTGAAAGGTGATTGGTCACCGGCCTCCTTATAAGATTTGCAACCATTTTATGATATAATAGTTTAGCTGTACAAAGTAACACTTTTTTTTGGTGGAAGGAATTTTGAGAATCTATCTTACATGAAAGATTGTTACAAATAATGTGGATTCGATGATGTGATAGTGGTGGGAATGAAGAATAAACGGTTCCAATTGTAAAACCCTTCAATATCAAAAGTTTGCCAAACATCAATTTATAAGGATTATATGCACACAACACAACTTGGTACCTTTCGAATATCTCAAAGTTGATGGGAGGATTAGATTTTCTCTTATTCTGCATACACCTTGCTAAATTATGAGTTGACAAGAATTATAAAATACGGTATATTAAACTCTATTTTACTTATAAAACTTATATTATACGATTTTATATTAGGTCTAATTGTATTTTTTTAACGGTACACATATTAGATCCAATTTAGCAACCTCATAAATTTATTTACACAATTTCTTTGAAATACTGTAGTTGTTTTTTTTTTTTTTTTTTTGGAGGAAATAATATACGGTACTTAATTATATGCACATTATTAAAATCATCTATCCTCATCCAAAACTTTTTTATATAGATCCATGTCATCCATCTATACCTAATTGACAAATTAAATGTACCCAAATTAATACTTCTATGATTTTATCACCTTATCAAGATGTACCTTGTACATAATCTAATTTATTATAAACTAGACAAATCACACTTTATTAACATACCCAAAAAAAAATTGTACCAATAGATAACATTGATTTCAAAACTTGATCACATAAAAATCAAATTCTTAACATAATATTCCAAAAAAAAAAAAAAAAAAAAAGTTACCTGGACCATGTTATTGGCAATATCAAGTATCCAAAATCCAAGAACAAAGAAAGCAACAGCTCTAGGTTTAGTAGGTTTATCAAGTGTATCACCCAACTTAAACCCGATATCGGCTGCTAAACCAATAAGCATCACCGCGATACATATCAATACTGTTCCGGTGAAGATGAACGGTTTTCGGCGACCGTACTTTGACTTCAGCCGATCACTGCTATACCCCACAATGGGCTGGACCACCATACCAGATATTGGGCCACATAACCATATGAATGAGGCCCAAACATGTGGGACCCCAAGTAGTTGGACATATGGGGTTAAAAGAGAAAGTTGCAAGGCCCAACCAAATTGGACCCCTGCTCCAATTGATGCCACTAACATTAGCTTCCATGTTGGGCTTGCTGGAACCTTTTTTGGCCCATTTTCGGGATTTTCCACTTGAATTATATCCATAATTTTGCAAAAAAAAAAAAAAAAAAAAATCTCTATTTGTAATACGAAAGAAAAATATCAAAGAATACAACGAAAAAACGAGATTACTTTTGAAGCAGTAAAATGTGTTTGAGAATTTAGTGTAAGAAATTTGAGATAGAAAAGAGATAAAAATTGGGTGTATTTATATAAAAGTATGGTCCATAATTTTGGGAAGTTAAAATTAATGACGGTGGGATAATAAGAGTAAAATTGGAAATTATATAATTATGGAAATTGGATATGAATTTAATGAATTGATGGATTGAATCTGCATTTTGCAATGTGAATAGCTGGACTTTCCAATTAGGTTCTGTATTATCTTCATACCTTACCTTATTTTTATTAAATGTTGGTCAAATTATGGATTTTGTATCTTAATTGGAGGTTTTATTGGTAAGATATCAGATGTTTCCTGAATTAAACTATTTTAGATTGGAGCGGAAGAAATCAGATGATATAGTACCCCGCGATTAGTATTTTTTTTTTTTTTTATAAAGATCTTCTCATTTACGGCTTATGTGGATTTAAAAAAATTACTATACTTATACGGGAGTATTGAAATTTTTTATTATGTGTGATCTTGTTAGATTTTTAAGTGTGTATATTTAGAATATTAGCTTAGTAAGGTTAAATTAGGTAATAAGATAACATTATTAATTCATAGTGCACAATGTAATAATCATGGGTGAGTCAGTGACGTTTTAATGAAATATCGAATCTGACTCAAGAATTTATTCCTATCAATATTTATTTTGTTAAGTGATGCATAGAGTAGATTTTCTCTTCTTGATTACTGCCATGATGGAGCCATGAAGGGAAATAAGGAGTAATAATATAGGATATGTTCTTTTCAAATAAACTTATTAGAACTGAATTTCATCTTATAATAAAACCGTAATTGAGTTTGATTGATCTTTAATAGAACTGAATTTCATCTTATAATAAAACCGTAATAGAACTGAACAATCTTTAATGGAACTATGGGAGGGCTTCAAAATGATAAAGTAATAGTCTAATAGAAGTGAAAATAGACAATAATGTTCAAACACTCAAACTAGAATCATCAAATAATGCAATTAATTACTCGTATAGTCATATTTTCAAACATTCAAATTCTAAATTAAATGAGATAGATCCTTTACTTGTTAGGGTAAGAGTTGCTTTCTTTGCATATATTATTTGACTTTCAAACTTGCATTGGTGTCTTGGGCAATTAATTAGTGATTGTCACATTTTAACAAAACAATAAATGGTGATAGTCACTAACACTTTCTTGGCTACCTTGTTGATTGTGTTAAGCAAAATATAATTATACTCTCGTACTATATATACAACATCATTTGTTCACTTGTTAATTTGAATAATCGCGGTAATTAATCGCCTTCCAAAATATCCTGAAATCAACATAAATTTAAAGTAAACAGTGCAAGAGATCGATCGAAAAATGAGAGCAACTCATTTTGTTTGATTTTTCAATTTCTGACTATCAAATGTTACTGAAAATTACAAAGAGGGACAATATTTATACCCCAGCAATTTCTTGCCAATCCCCCATTCTCTAACACTTCCTTAATCATCTCAAAAACAAGTCACAAAAGTTACACCAAAAAAAAAAAAAAAAAAAAAAGAGAGTAGAGAGAAATTACATTTTGAATGAAGCATGCATAAAATTAACAGCTTCATTCAATATTTTTCTTTTCTCTCTAATTACAGAGACAAGTTAACTTTTTTTCTTTTTTTCCTTTTTCTTTTCAAATCTATAATTTTTTTTAAAAAATTTATTAATGGCCACCCATGGACCCTCCAATCTTGGCATCAGGAGGAGGAGAAGGTAGCAATGTAAAGGAAAGAATTGCACTGGCAGTTGCTGCTACGGCTCCCACCACGAATGCTGGCAAATTACCCCCACCAAACATTGCATCCCACGGCCCACTTGTTACCGACACAAACATCTATTTTCACCACACATCCAGGAAATAAAGTCAGTCAATAAATCTTGTATGACACGGTCTCACAATAATTTATTAAAAAAATTGGACCAACAGTTTCATTTAAAAATTGTAGCGCGCTTTGCCTCAAATAAGACTCAACATCGTCGAAAAAGTTAATATTCTCGTTGATTTTGCTTAGTCACTTTTCACCAGATTATAGTAATGCCTTAACGTAGAACCACAAATACATGACATCTTTATTAATCTTTTGCTTCAAATATGAAAAAAGTTGGTGATTTCAACTTGACTCTTGTTTCTAATAAAGTTGGCCTAAGGTAGCATGCACCATCATATAATATGTATGCTTTTAATTTTTGGTCGGTGCTTCTTCATTCCCTACTTACATTTTAATAGCTTCAATAATAAGTTCTTGTGTAATTACTCCGAAATTTCCGTGTAACTAACTATATCGAAAGCAAAAAGATCAAATTTAATATAAGTCTATGTCATCATTTCATGGAAGTTGGTATGTGGCATGACCATATATATGTTTCTTATTGTAGGGTCCTTACTCCTTAGAGATTGATTATACTATATAATTGATCGAATTCGTGGATAAAACGTGTACGTTTTAAGATATGTGGTTATGGTAGTTATAAATTAATTCAAATGTGTCAAAACAATTGAAATGATGTTGTATGAAAGTATTATATTACCTGTGGTACAACGATTGCAAGGTTAAGAACTCCTAGAGAGAGACCTTGTCCTGCACCTGAATTTGCTGAAAAGATTGATGCCAAGGCGAAGGGGATACTGAATGTGATCTGTAAATACATATAACGATAACAATTAATATTTTTTCTCGAATATATACATATACATATACATACACGAAGTATATCTTTTAATGCATGTTCACAAGCGGAAAAAAATAAAAGTAAAAAATAAAAAATTCGACAGCTTGAACCAGAAGGAGCTTAACATAAAGTCATGGAATATATGTGATAGGATAGATTAAAATTGGATAAGATTCGTACTTTGTTTATGTGGTTTGATTGAAGCCAAGAAATTAAAAAAGTGGACAGTTGAGTTTTAGCAAACATCCCAACCACTATATCCAGTTACCTGACCTCTACGGTCAAAAAGTTGTTAATTAATTATAACTTCATGACTCATTCATCAATTTTTATGGACTTATGTTTATAGTTAATCTTTGATTACAAGAAACAAGTAGAATAATCCAAGGAAAATCATCACTTGATCTTAATCTTTGATGACATCACCAGTCTTCTCAGATGGTCAACTCATATTCTTCTTTTCACATTAATTTATCAATTAATATTCACAATTTTAATTCATAGGTAAATAATAACCATATACAGTGCACCTACTTCGGAATATTTGTCGTATTTAAATCTATAATTTCACAAAGATAGCAATTCTTAGGTAAAAAATAAAAAGCACATACGTCATTTTCATTGAGAAGGAATAACACATATACAAACACGTAGTTTGAAATACTAATTCACTCTTTTAACTTATACGGAGAAACACTGACGTCAGCATATTCATTTATTATTGGTATATTTTTCATCAAATAGAAACTAAAAAATCGATTAATTAGTAAAATATTGCGATATGGACAACTAATCTAAGCTAATACTACCACAATTATGTCCTAGAAATTGAAATTTTTTCAGATTCAGATTCACTTTCAATTGTCATTGAAGTATAAGACAATTCAATACTCAAAGAAATGTTTGTTTTTGTCATATGAACAAATGGAAGCGAAAACAGCCAGAAAAGCTACAAGTTGAAGTTAGACTATAGGCAAAAACTGCCAAGAACAAAAACAGTAGTTATTTCAAAAGGCGTTTGTTACTAAATTAAGGAAGACTTTTCAAATTTTATTTATTTGGTTCAAACTAACACTTTAGTCCAAAAGAAAAAACTGGCCCATCTTCCCTTACTTCTTGAGCGTGGACGGTGTAGCTTTTGGCTAACAACTTAGCATGGAAGGGAGCCAATCAGCTTATCACAATTTTTCACTAACTTTTTAAGAATTATGTATAAAAAAAAATTATGAAAAAATAAAAATAGTTTTTATATAATTTACTAAATATAGAGAAAGTTGTTTCAAGTGATGATGTAAAAAGTGGCATATTTTTAGTGAACTCATGTCAAGTAAATAGTTGAATTATCTTCTTGTAATAGGGTACAAAATAACATGATCTGAGATGGATAGTAAGGTAACTTATATTCCGTACACAACAAAATCTCCTAATTTTATTTTTACCATAAAGGTTTACACAATTTTATGGTTATTTTTAATCTTGTTTTAGAAAAAGTCAAAAACAAAAATTTTATTTTATCTTTACGTTTTTTTAGTGAGAAGAAAGATAAACGTTGTGAAGATCCGTAAAATACCCTTAAATTACGTTGTTACAGTTTCATTCCTACTTGTAAGATTCTTTTACGTAGTACTGGTAGAAAAAAAAATTATTCTAATGAAACTGAAAACAATTCATAGACATTCTCTAAGACTAAATGACTCGCAGTTCAATACATGATCACAAAAAAATTAAGCCAAGTTGGTCATCACATACACCATATTCAAAGTATAATCACTCACCTAATTAATATTCTCTTGTTTGATTGTACCATAATTAAAGAACCATAATATATACACTTAATTGCTTCTATTTCACTTAAAAACCATTAAAACGTAGCCAAGTTAAAACAAGGAACACTTCACGGATATGGAAACAAATATTTTAACTTAGAAAAAAATCAAATAAATAATTGCTCTAACAAATTCTAGTGAAGGTAACAAACATAAAATCAAACAATAATAATAATAATAATAATAAAGATGCATGATGAAATAATACTACCTCCGGTCCAAATTACTCGCAACTTTAGGGTATTATTTGTGAGATATAAAATATTTCAAAATTGCGAGTAATTTGGATTTGAGGTAATAATAATAATAATAATAATAATAATAATAATAATAATAATGAACTTACCGCAAGAGGGATACCAAGGACGGCAAAAATAGCCAACGCGCCACCCTTAACACCGGGAGGCGGAAGCGGGGGAACGGTAGAACCCGGCACATGGTGTGTGTCACGGTAGTGCTCGGCGGACTTGGTGACCAAAACCGTCATTGCTAAACAAACGGCAAGAATAATATTAACGATACCCCATAACCTTTTGGCACCTCCTACCAAGCGAGCCAAACCTTCGATACTAAGTGACATGACACCTAAAACCACCGAATTAATCATCAATCCCAACGCACCCGCGTGAACACCCATGTCGTACGCCTTTCCTTCACCCACTTTACCACCGTACACTTCTTTGCCCATCCAATCTGTGTCGAACAACAAGAATGGGAACCATGCAATCCAATTTAAGCATGTTACTAGTAGAAGGATCAACATTGGTTTTGGTAAATCTTTTAGTGCGCCTATTAGTTGTCCGAAGAATGGGAGCCTGGCACATCCTCCGGTTGCGTTTTTTAAGTCTTCTTCTTCTTGGATTTCGTCCAGGGAGAATTGGCGCTCTCGGACCACCGAGAGCGCTAGTATGGTGAGGATGATGAGGAGGGTGATGGAGATGAAAAAACAGGATTTTAGATTGGCGCAGTAGATGTCACATGCGGCTGTTTTTGTGAAAGGGAACACGGTATACAGTCGGCTGTATGAGCCGGCTGAGTAACCACCTATGTTTCCTAAGGCCATGAAGAATGAAAAGAAAGCGTTGGCGTACCGGGTTTTGGTTTGACACCCGGCTGCCATGTCAGCTAACAACGCCCTGCATGGACCTTGCAGGGTGTTGTTAGCCACGTCAAGGATCCAGAACCCAACCACGAATACCGCAATGGCTCGTGGTTTCGCAACGTTCCCGTTCGGGTCCCCTGACGCGTGGCCAATATCGGCCGCAAATCCGATCAAGAACACCGCTACGGCCACCAAAGCCGCCCCGACGGCTATAAAGGGGCGACGTCGGCCGAATTTGGAGGTGCACCGATCACTATAGTACCCCACCAAAGGTTGGACAATCATCCCAGAGATTGGGCCGCATAGCCAGATGTATGCAGCCCAAGTATGGGGAATGCCCAAGAGTTGAACGTACGGGGTCAGTAAGGAGAGCTGTAGGGCCCACCCAAACTGGACCCCGGCCGCTATAGATGCCACCAAGCCGAGCTTCTTAAGTGAAGCCTCGACTTCTAGTGGTGGAGATATCGGGTTCTTCTCTAACTGTAGAGAAGAACCCGATATCTTGTTATTATCACCATTTTTTATATTTCTTCCTTCCATTGTATTAAAAAATTTTTCTCTCAACAATGTTTTTTTTTCCTTCTTTCTGTTAGAAAGTTGTAGTTTTTTTTTTTGTGGGTGAGTTTAAGATATGAAGAGGAAGAGTTTGGTGAGGCCGAAAATATATAGGAGAGGAAAAGGGTGGGGGGAGTAAGATGGGGTCATTAGGCGGGTCTCTAGGCTTATCCGTTTTGAATTAAGTTTCTTCGGAGTAACATTATTTTTTACATCATCTTTGACACGTGTAAAAGCCATTTAATTTTTTGATTCCTCATTTATTCACATTATTTTTATTAACTTCAACAAACAAGAAGAGAAATAATGTGTGTCGTTACGTTTATAAATGGAGATAATAATTATACAAGATTAATTAATGTTAGTGAAGAAAAGAAAGTTTCACCAAACTTTTTCTGCTTGGTTTGTGGAATTCATACTTGTTTGAAATATGAGTGCTCTAAAATACTGTAATATATTGCCAGTAAGTATTATTTTATCCCAAATGTCTTAAAAAATTTAAAATTATCCCAAAAAATTGTACTAATTCAAAGTGGATAAATCTTTTCATTGGCAAGGAAACTTTTAAATAAATCGGATGTACAATAAATATTATATATTCGTTATAAAGTTACTTCTAAAATGAGCAAAAGTTACCCTAATATGATTAAAAGGTACCCTAACATAGATAAAAGTTATGAAATATTTATGCTTTATTGATAAAAGTTACTCAAATTTTTTAAAAGTGATCCTAAATTTGATTAAAAGTGACCCCGATATACAATAAATTACTGTACACCAAATATATCAAAAGTTATTCGATTGGTAATTGGCTCTTGCCTCTTTAGAGAACATTTTGTTTAATGGAGTAAAAAAAAATTTATGGAGTATTATCTTATCCAATGAAACAGATTACTTTTGCTTTATTGAGGGAGATTATTTATTTATTTATTTATTTTTCTATAATGGGGTCCATTGTCATATTTACTGTATGTTTGAAAAATGGCAGAAATTTATACTTCTAGGAGAAGTTAAAAACGGATACACAAAAGGTAAAAAAAGACGATTAAAGTCATTAACTTTTTAATGTTCTTAGTCTTTTTTTTGAAAAAAAACTTTCACTAATTACTACGTCAAATTTATAATCACGTTATCTCTCAAAAAAAAAAAATACGATAACATAATTGTATTTATTTGACATCATCTGATTATTTGTCGATATAATTGTTGTACTTCATATGATGGAATAAAAGTATCGTTATGTTAATTTTGAAAGCTAACGTACATGTAGTAATTAATGAGTACGAAACTATTGAAGTACATTTTCTTACCCTATTGTAAATTAAAAATGATAAAACGGTATATAATAGTACTTAGTTGATAAAAATGGAGTATGTAATGGATGTTGTAATTAAAAGTGAGATGGATATATAATCCATCTAGAGAATGGGATCTTTAAATTCAAAATTGAAGGACCACGTAATATATACCTTTTTCTTTAATAATAAAAAAAAATTCACCCTTCTTAAACGGCTAATTATTCCATTACATCTTATCCTTTAATTTTGTACTATGATTAATTGCTAAGGAAAAAGAAGGGTGGTTCTAGTTCCATTAAATGTGAAATTGGAATCATGTAGCAGTGAGAGAAGAGGAGAAAAAGAAAAAAAAAGTTGCTAACTTTTTCATATTCTCTTCTCCTAATTATTATAATTAATTTTATAAATCATAAAAATAAGATTATGGATGATGTATGTAATTAAGTCAACATATGAAGTGGATAATTCCTGTAGAGTTTGTTGGTAGATAATGGAACCTTGAAATGAGGAGGGCCAAATTAATTACATAAGATATTGTTTTTGTTACTTTTATTTGAAAATAAGGCAATTAAATTGATCTTGTTCATATGTAACTTGTGACATGTATGGCTGGAGCTGAGTCAGATAAGGGCTTTTTAGTACTTGTAGTAACTTCAAAGCATAAGTTAAATGCTCTCATACTATTGGATATATCAACCTTTTTTTTATTGTATGTGTATGCATTATTATTTTATAATCTATGCTTATTAATTACTTTTGCTTAAGAATTGGTACCGTAGAAAAAATTGATGTTAGATTTTATTGATATGGAATAAGATCATATCATGGCGAAGAGTTGCTTTCCTGTGGAGAGTGTGTGTATTCAAAATTCATAAAATATGATACGTAGAAGGAAATAAAAAATCATTATATCAATTGAACCGGTGTAAATGCGTAAATATTATACTCGTATTATATAGCGTATTTTTATGAGTATAATCGAAAAAAATAATAATATTTGTGCAGTAGATTGATTAAATATTTTTATGCACTTGGAGTATTTTCAATATTTTGTAAAATTATTGCACATTTCTTCTGTTTTATGGTACAAGTAATTAAGATTAAGCAATGTATACAACTTTGACGATTTTATTTTGTGAATTGAGTAATACTCATCTAACTAAATTAATTAGCTAGCACATCAAATAAAACATGCATATTATTGCGTGTATATAATTTTATGTCAAATAATTAATAAATTGTTGAAGTAATTAGGAACATAAGGACAATGGTAATCTAAATCTACCTTGAATATTGTTTACATCAGGCACTCATGTAATAGAATTATTTTTTTTTGCTAGAAAGGAACAAATAATAATTTTGTTTAAATTGAAAGCATTGGAATTGTGAAATGAAAGTTATATATCAATTATTTAGTGTAAAGAATAAATTATTCCATCAATAATCGCTCTTATTGAAGGGAAAATAATACATAGACTCCGTAGTAGTATGACTGTATGTATAGCATAAATTACTATATTTTCTTGTTATGTCATTCATTGACTCAACAACTATGCAAATTGCACCAAATTAAAATTATGAGCATAAAATAATCAGTAAACCTCTAAAAATATAAACCATACAGAATTAAACCAAAAGGGATAAAAGAAAGATAAATTAAAGAAAAAAGAAAAGACGGCAGGAGAATTGATTCTAATTCTTTTTTTACCTATTTGATTATTTAGAACTTTATCTACTAGTTGATATACATAATACATTATTCAACTTGTTTGCATAAATTCTGAAATGACGTTATGTCAGAAAGGTTTAGTGTTGTATTATTAGGATTGAGCACTTTTTGTTAAGGTTAGCTGGGTTTTATAATTTTAGACTATTGGTATAGTAATACATCATATTAATTATATTATTATATATTATACTACTATAATATAAATAGAATTATTATTGTATGTGATGTCACTAGTAAGGGCTAATATTTCGAGCGACAATGCTGAAATAGATTAAATTAGTAAGAAATGAGATAGCCTTAGCACATGGAGGAGCACTGCACATGCAAAAGAGGAAACTTATAATAATTTGCTCGGGTAGAAATTATAATATTTTGCATTATATTGTTTTATATAATTAGACATTTCTTAAAATAATAATGTAGCATATTATTATTGTAGCAACAAAATATCCGTCACATGGTTAGTGGGTACACCAGCTTAACACAACCAATTAATTTTGTGTGAGACACGTAACAAATCACCCCTTAACAATATAAAAGTTTCTTCGTATTATCTATCATATTAGGAATTCAATTTTGTTTTATCGAATTTTGTTTTTTTGTGAAAATTAAAAGAATTTGATGTTCGTTCATAGAAAAGTATTCTGGATTTCTCACCTCTTTATTTTCTAGAAATGCTATTGATCAATAGGAACAAGAAAAGAATGAGCTCAATGTGGAAATTATAGAGATCATCTCTATATATTGGCAATGAGATGGAGACAATATTCCTTTTTAGAGTATCCTCTCTCTAATGCCACTAAAAAGGTTCTTGGACCGTCAGTTTCATATCTTAAAATTTATCTTCTCAACTTAATTATGTATATAGACAATAATAAGTAAAGCTCAACAGAAAAATTTATCCAGTTTAATTTAGATAGATTAGTAAAATGATGTACGTTAAATTCAAGAAATATAAGTCAAGACCAACAAAAAAGAAGCCGAGGAGAACAAAACCTAGAAAACACTTGATGTACTGAGTACACTGTTAGGTACGACAAAGGTACCTATGCAATCTATAGTAATGATTTGAGTTTGATTTCAAGGAGAAACAAGGAAAGAAATCAAGCTGCGATCAACGACAATTGACAATAGTCAAGGAACATGAAGACTCATTCAGAAATCAGAATGATCAACGACATTTATACATAGATTGTACTTGCATTGTGTACGTTAGTTGATATATAGTATACAATATTTTCTTCATAATTTTGGTTGTTACATTTCAAAGATTTAAATTATTCAACGACAAAGGTCATGAAACTTAGACATTGATGATCATTAAATTTTAATAATTTAATTCAATTTTTCTTTAAAATTGTAGGCTGGCAAAGGCAATTCATTTGACCTTATCCATCTATTAGATGAAACAATCTTGAATTCATCAGCATTCCCCAAAAAAACTGCAAATTCTGACTAGTAGCTATTTAAATCTTGATTTATTATATGAATATGAGAGAGAAATTTGTGCATGAAATTAGATGAATTAATTGGATGCAGTTAGTTTGTTACTCGTACTCGAGTTTTTACTGCTAATTTAGTAAGATTTGCATGCATGAAGCCAGATCAAGTATGGAGTTGTGAACGACTTTTGTCATATTTTTCTTGATTTTTGTGTTTTTCCATACTATATTTTATCCAAAATTTTAGGGTGCTACTTTTATCCTATGATGAAATTGTATCTTAATTAGTCATATATAACCTCCAATTTTAAAAAAGTACGGTGTTAATTATGTAAACTAAAAAGTACATACACGTTAGCATTTATGACAGACTAGCCTTGTGGATCATGAAAATTATGATGGACTATTATTTGTAGACGGGGGTAATTGTATTTATGAGTAGTTATGCCAAAATCTTGCAAATTGGCAAATGGCTTTATTAATGTACCCACACCTAGCATGAATTTGGCATGGCATGCACTTCTATGCCAGGACTTGAATTTTGACTATTTTTTTGTCAATTTGGCTCAGTACGCTTAGCAATGTAACCTAGTTGATAAAATTATCCCCGGTAA